TGAGGAGAAAAATTACCCCCCTCAGGTAATACTTCTGAGGTGGCAGGAGTCTTCCATGAATACCTTGTATGCTTCATTTTCTTGTAGTATTCCTTTCACCTAGGGAAATTTCACATCTGTATTTCTCAAGTTCTGTGTTCTTTCAGTGCACATTATTTGAAATATTGCTTTTCTATCGGAAACAGTGCTTAGGAATGTTCCTGTGCTCCATTTTATTATCATCCATCTTTCAGCTCTTTCCCAGGTAGGCACAGAAAACCCAAGAGCACAGTGTTGTATACCTGCACATACACACAGGTGTAGGAGATAGGAGATCTGTGTCCATGGTGAAAATCCAGTTAGCAACCGTTTGTGCTTAGTCTTGATTAGGCACATAATAAAACATAAAACATGTTTTTAAAAATGGATTAACTCAGTGTGTTATTGTGTGTGTGTGTGTGTGTGTGTGTATGTGTGTATGTATATGTTTGTGTATGTATAATTTCCCTGAACCTTTTATTAAGAAAATTTGCAAAAATATAGAAAAGTAAAAAGAACTGTAAAGTGAACATTCATAAACCCAATACTTGAATTCTGTAATTGTTAACACTTTGTTATATTTGCTTTTATGTGTGTCATTTTGCATTGCATGCCTCAGAATCAAATGCTTCCTAAGTAGTGATTTACATGTTTCTTAGAGGTCTTTGCCAAGGAATTTAATTTTAGATGTCTGTTAACACATATGTTATGTTATTATCTCAGGATGGAGCATTAGAAAGAATGTCTAGCTTTATAATTTGAAAATATGCTGGTTTTGTAATTTTAGGATGGAGAACTAAACTGAGAATATTTTACTGTAATTGGACAAAGTCTGAAGAACTTGAAAACTTTGCATAGTTTGAAACCCCAAGTGACTTGATAAATTCATAGCACTAAAGTTATCGAGTGACCTCAGTAATAAAATATGGAACCAGTTGATTGCAAACCCATTTAAAATGTTTGAGGAATGCTAGAGATAACTCATTCTTATAGGCAGTTCTGGTGTAAAGGGATCTACATACAAAATATGTCAGGTTGGAATTATCTTAAGAAAATCTAGAAGCAAATATGCTCTGCAAGGCTGATCCACGTGAGTTGTGGGTTTATGTTCAGAGACCTCCCTGAGTATGCCAGGCATGTATATGCCCATAATCCAGGGCTAGCTCCTTTTTTTTTTTTTTTTCCATAGGCTGCATGTATTTGGCTGGGAGACAGAGAGAGACTCTGAGAGGTAAAGTGAGAAATCACCCCCCAGGGGAATGGCCATTCTGCAGTTCCTTCTTCATTTTCCTCTTGGAATTTTGGGCACACATGCATGTGTGTCTGATAAGAATTTCAAGCTGCCAGGTTCAGGACTCAAACACAGTTGGCCATGTGGGAGTCTAGCACCTTAACCACCATGCCACCTCCTGGCCCCAGGCTAACTGAATTTGAGGGTAGATGGCAATGTCAGGAACCCATTGTGGTTTTTCTGTTTCTTTGTTGCTCTCTAGCTCTCTCGCTCATAGAAGAGATAAATGAACTTTCAAAACAGAAAGAAAGAAAAAGAAAAAGGAAATCTAGAAGGGAGACTAGAATAGGGGCATTCAAGGATTCCTGTGCAATTAATTGATTTTCCGATACTTCTTTCACCCTCAGAAAGTTTTCTCTTTCAATTTTCTTCCTTTTTCTAATAATCCCCCATTTCTCTTCGTGTCAGTGAGCCTTCCTTCTGTCACATGGTTTCCTTGTGATGGGAAGGAAGGCTTCCTTTTATGTTGGCTTGCACTTTATTTTACCTTCTATCTAGTAACAGTGATGCAGCTAGGTCTAAAGGAGTAGGGGCTCAATGGATTAGCATTCCTACTAAGAAGAAAGATATATTTCTTTTTATCCAGTTAAGGAACTAAAAGCTTATCTGTTTATGGTAGAATCTAGTCTTCAAGATTAAGTAAGAATCAGGACCAGCAGTTAGCATAATGGCTATGTCACTGGACTCCCACGTAGTAGACCGCGGTTCGTGTCCCGGACCCAGTGGCTTAAACTCAAGCCAGGCGCGTGTGCGTGCGTGCCCAAGATCCCGAGAGGAGAATGGAGGAGAAGGGATTGCGGCGTGACCATCCCCCATGGGGGATGATTTCTCACTTTCTGTTTCTCTGTCTCTCTCTGTCTGTCTGGCGAGTACACGCGCCCTATGGCAAAAACCTCTTAAAAAAAAAAAAAGATAAGATTAAGTAAGAATTTTGTCTGTTCCATATGTTGATCCATTCATACTTTTAAAAAAAGAAAAATAGTCCCTTAAAAAATTAAAGGATAAGCAAATGAGCTGAACAGACAGTCCTCCAAGGAAGACATGAAATCCAAAAACCATATGAGAAAATGCTCAACATCCCTTATCATAAGGGAGATACAAATTAAAACTATAATGAGATACCACTTAACCCTAGTCAAAATGGGTAAGATTAAAAAAATAAGGAATAATAGGTGTTGCTAAGGCTGTGGTGAAAAAGTAACTCTTCTATGCTGTTGATGGGAATGTAAATGAGTACAGCCACTGTGGAGAATAATATGGAGGTTCCTCAAAAACCTACAAATAGAAATGCATACGACCCAGCAATTCCACTCCTGGGTATCTACCCAAAGGATAGGAATACACTCAGTTGGAAAAACACTTGCACATCCATGCTTATCACAGCATTATTCACAGTTGTTAAGACATGAAATCAACCCAAATACCTAAAGACAGATGAACGAATTGAAAAAGTGTGGCACATATACGCTATGGAATACTACTCAGCAGCAACAACGAAAAACAATGAGCCCCTGACATTTGTTAGAAAGTGGATGAATACTGGGACCAGCAATTAGCCTAATGGCTATGTTGCTGGACTCCCACGTAGTCGACCGCGGTTTGTGTCCTGGACCTGGTGGCTTAAAACTCACGCCGGGCGCGTGTGTGTGCATGCCCAAGATTTCGAGAGGAGAATAGAGGAGAAGGGATTGTGGCGTGGCCATCCCCCCTAGGGGGTGATTTCTCGCTTTCTATCTCTCTGTCTTTCTCTGTCTGGCGAGCGCACGCGCCCTATAGCAAAAACCTCTTAAAAAAAAAAAAAAAGACAGTGGATGAATACGAAAGATTTACTACTAAGCTAAGCAATCCAGACTGAAAGAGAGGCATTGTATGTATGTCCTCACTCAATGTATTCCTGATGCCTGCACTCTATGGCAGAAACTGACAGACTGGGAGGTATAAAAGCAAAGAGAGCAACTATGGATACTAGTGACAATGTGGGAGGAGGGCGGGCAATGGGGAGTAGGAAGGGGAGAATCAAGGGGCAAAATAAACAAAACATTAAACAGACAAAAATGATCTGTTGATAATGTATATGGTAATATCCTTGGGCTAATATTCAATGTATTAATGCTGGGAAAGTTCATTTTGTATGTTGTAAAGATGTGCAGTAATTAAATGTAAAAATATAAGAAAATAATAAATTAAAATTTAAAAACTCTTGGTACATGTTTGTCAGGATAACTTGTATATCTGCACACACATGTACATTTTTTTTAAGAGAGAGATTTTTGCTATAGGATGTATGTGCTTGCTGGAGAGACAGACAGAGACACAGAAAGTTAAAAATCACACCCCCCCACCCCCAGGGGGGTGACCACATCACAATCCCCTCTTCCCCATTTTCTTCCTGGGATTTTTTTTTTTGGAGAGAGGTTTTTGCTGTAAGGCACGTGCGCTCGCCAGAAAGACAGAGAGAGACAGAGAAATAGAAAGCGAGAAATCACCTCCCAAGGGGGATGGCCACACCACAATCCCTTCTCCTCCATTCTCCTCTCGGGATCTTGGGCATCCATGCACACGTGCCCTGCGTAAGTTTAAGCCATTGGGTTCAGGACTCGAACCGTGGTCGGCTACATGGGAGTTCAATGACATAGCCATTAGGCTAACTGCTGGTCCTTCCCAGGATTTGGGGCACATATACACACATGCCTGGCATGACATCAAGTTGCCGGGTCTGGGACTTGAACCATAGTCGACTGTGTGGGAGTCCAGCAATGTAACCATTATGCCATCTGCTGGTCCCCAGAATATGTACGTCTTGAAAGCTTCTGATTACTTGTTTTCTTCTATAGAATATAATTTTGCAGATTTGCATACTACCATGTAGATGGGATCCTGTTTTCCATTGGGCTCTCTACAATAACTAATATAAATGACCTCCTGGTGTCACTTTATCTTTTTCATATTCATTAAATAAGGTTTTCCATTAAAGGATATAGCACAACTTAACACTCTGAACCTTTGGCATATAACTTTTACTTTAGTCAATTTAATGTAGATGTCGAGAATAGTACCGTGTTTGGCTACCAAAAACTTCCAGAGTAGGGTAGTGTACTTCAGCTAACTTAAAAATGAACTAACTCTGCAAGGAACATAGAGGAAGTGTACACTCAATATTTTGCAAATCATAAAATTATTTTTATGGATTGCTTTTGAGGCAGAGTTTTTATGACCGTAACATTCCAGCTGTGGTTTGGGGAGGCAGAATGTTTACTACCACTCCAAACACAAGGATGGTAGGTGTGTATTCTTGCTGCTAAAGGGCTTAAAAAAGAAGCCAAGGCGCCCTTCGAGTGAGTAAACCTTTATTCAGCAAGCTGTGGAGCCGCGTTCCTATGGAGCTTTGGTGGTCATTGTGGAATGTGGGTTCAACAACAGCCCAGTCATGGGCGAGCCTTCCGTCTCTGAGGCAGGATGGCAGGCTGTCCCAGCTAACTGTTTTAGGCAGCCCATGGAAAACCACTTTCTGGTTAAGTCTGCATCATACTGTTCCACCAATGGAAAAAATTGAACATGATGAGGGTGTGTAGCTAGCAGACAAAAATATACCCAGCATTGCACAGGATCTGTTTTTAGCTCTTAACGGCTGAGCATTTGAAGTGTTAGACACTGTTTCCTGGCTTGCCATGGGCAGAGAGAAGACAGAGACTGTGGATGTGTGTGGAGACTCCAGCTTTGCGAAACTTTCCCTATGAACTGAAAGCCCCTGAGAAAAACAGGCTACATCCAAAGTTTTGGCAAAGGTAAGGTTGTAAATGTTTATTTTCCGCCTTTCAGAGTGGAGACTTAGTTTTATATGTATGATATAAATATTTCTGGAAACTCTCCCTCCGGCCATATATCCCGTGCACTGACGTCTTTGTTGTACATTATTTTGTACTTGGGCCGCACACGTTGCAATGCAGAAAGGAATGATTACCTTTGGATTCGAGTGTCTTTTTTGTTTTCAAATATCTATTGTGGATTTATTGCAGCTCCCTGCCTACTTTTCTAATTAACACTCCAAAAGCTGGTTGTTCATACACATAAGGTTTGAATTTAATTTCTCTCGCCATCTCAAGAAAGTACCGTCTCGCAGCCTGATCATGTGAAAGCACTGAAGATGGTTACTTTACCTTTTAATTCTTGCAGGGCAGAAAGGGAAATTCAGATGTGGCAGAGATTGTATTTTTGTCGTTTCCTGGTTATTATATAATCCCATTGGGCTTTATGGAGTTTTAGCTGAGCGAGCTATTTGGTTGCGTTTTCTTTCCAAACTTGATGTTTACTTTTTAGCACTATTTTGCCTTAACTTTATCTTAAACTTCCTAAAAAGAAAAAGAAATCCTTTGTAATCGAGGGAGGGAGTTCCTTGTTTGAGGAGGAGGATTGATTTGTGTTGTGACCCAGCAAAGGCTGCTCATTTGTTCGGGCGAGTGCCTCACACGTGTACTTATCAGCAGGGATCCGGAGCCTTGGCTTTGGTGAGCTCCTTCCTTGGCTTTACATTAATTTGGGCAAACATGTAATTCTCAGAAAATTGGTAGGTACAGATGCAAAAATAGGAAGCTTTATTGAAGTCACTGTAACTTGGAAGAGTATTTATAGAATCTCTGGAAAGTAAGGGTATGCCTGAACACCTCTTAGCGTTTCTCCTAACACATTTAAGCATTTTACTGTGGCCTTCCATCACACTTAGGGATTCTAAAATCTTACACAAACTTTCGGTGTAATGAGGCTTTGAGTTATTTGGGGAAGGAAAGGTGTGTTTCTTACCAGTTGTAGCAGGACTGTCATTCTTTGTGGGTATACTGTGTGCTGTCAGTTCCTTCACTTCCTTTATAGAAATGTCTGCTGGGCACTGAGGAATGTGAGTGTGGTCCTGGTAGGTTAGAATTATTAGAGAAACTGGTCATGCTTTATTGATTACTTTCACTTTTAATCTAAAGCATGCTCTGACAGCCAGTTAGAGCAGTAACAGGGCAAGCCTGCTGCCTTCCCTGGTGAGAGCCATGCTTGTCACATACTTTGATGGTTACCAGAGCTCATGGACAGAAACAAATCTGGTGAAAAACCTTATGGCTTACGTCCCTACCAGCCAGATGTGAATAGTGGTTTGAATGCAAAAGATAACACTTTCCTTGATATTAAAGTGCTGAGGGAGTGACTTGCAAAGTCCTCTTGTGAGTAGATCACGGAGTCCTTGGCAGATAGGCCTGAAGTGGGTAGATAACGGTTAGGCCCCTCAGGAAGAGATTATCCTTCCAACCTCCTTCCAACCTCACCTCTCACTTACCAAAGAAGTAAAGCAGTGGATTCTGTCTTGGTGGCCCAAGATTGTGTTTGAGTAGAGCCATATTGCCTTTGCAAAGTAAGGGCAGAGTCCTTGCAATTCATCCTGCCTTAAATGTTGAATGAAAGGACACAGAGCCTGTGCCCCTATCGGTGGACTATGTCGTTACGGTGTTTCTGTGTGCCTCTAGGTTTGGCCTGTTTTTATATTCACTATATGATGATAATAAATTGGGTTAATGATCCTTTCTCTCAACTGTTTGATTAAAAAAAATTCTCTTTATGGAACATGCAAAACAAAGTTTTTTTGGGACTTTTTTATTTATAAGTAATAATTTGCCTTTTTTCTTTGGATTTCCTTAGCTATAAACCAAGGTAATAATTGTTTTATTGGAACAGCTTTAAAAGAAAAAGATAAGGGTATGGAGTTTAAAGAAATAGCAATAATATTAAAGATGGTAAAAAGTAATAATAAGGATTATAGAGAAACCTGAATTTCTGACCATGAAATTCTAATAAAAGTGACTGAATGTCTTTTTATTACTCAATTCTATTTAAAACAGGTTTAATATACTAAAAAGCTTTAAGGTTAGTACTCTAGGAAAATATCATATGCTCTATTTTTAACTATTTATAGTTTATAGTATTGTAGAGACATAGAATTTTAGAGCCTAAAATGGATCTTAGACAGTTTTTTTCAAGTGGACAAACTGAAAAACGTTGGAACTGAAATGACTTGTACAAAGTCACAGATATCGTTAGTGATCCAGCTGGGTCGAAATTCCAGGTATCCTGCTGGTCCTTCCCTGATTTGAGAATACAAGTTGAGCATCCCTAATCAGAAAATCTCAAATACTTTAAAGTCTGAAACTTTTTTTTTTGAGAGAGATTTTTGCTATAGGGTGCTTATGCTCACTAGAGAGACAGAGAACAAGAAATCACCCTCTAGACAGGATGGCCATGCCACAATCCTTTTTCCTCTTGGGATTCGGGGTATGTATGCACACATGCTCAGTGTGAGTTTCAAGCCTTCAGGTCCAGGACTCGAACCATGGTCCACTACATGGGAGTTCAGTGGCATAACCATTATGTCATCTGCTAGTTCCCAAACCTGAAACTTTTTGAGTGTTGATATGACAGCACAAATGGAAAATTCTACCTCCGACTTCACGTGATGGGTCATAGTCAAAATGCTCTAATATAGATATATTGTATAAAGTTATACTTCATAAAAGGTATATATGAAACATAAATTTGGTGTTTATATACTTGGGTCCTGTGGACTTGGGTCCCTTATATCTTTTTTTTTTTGGAGAGGTTTTTCGCTATAGGGTGCGTGCGCTCGCCAGACAGACAGAGAGGGACATAGAGACAGAAAGCGAGAAATCACCCCCCATGGGGGATGGTCACGCCGCAATCCCTTCTCCTCCATTCTCCTCTCAGGATCTTGGGCACACACACACACGCGCCCGGTGTGAGTTTTAAGCCACCGGGTCCAGGATGCGAACCACGGTTGACTACGTGGGAGTCCAGTGACACAGCCATTATGCTAACTGCTGGTTCCCTGGGTCCCTTATATCTTATTATGTATATGCAAATATTCCAAAATCTGAAAATATCCAAAATCTGAGTTACTTTTGGTCCTCAGCATTTTAGATAAATGGTACCCAACTAGTAAATTGATAGAGGCATGTTGATGCATGTACGTGTGTATATAGTTGTGTGCATACGTGAACACACTCACACACTTATTCAACTCCCTCCCTCGTTCTCTTTCTTCTTTCCATTTTTTGTTTTTATTTTTTATGTACTTACCTGCTATTTATAAAACTTTTTTTTTAAGAGCGATTTTTGCTGTAGGGCGCATGCACCTGCTGGAGAGATGAGAGAAAGAGAGACAAAAAGTGAGAAATCAGTCCCGGGGGGATATGACCACATTGCAGTCCCTTCTCTTCCATTCTCCTCTTGGAATTTTGGGCACACATACACACATGCCATGTGTGTTTCAAGCTGCTGAGTCTGGGACTTGAACCACGGTTGACTACGTAGGAGTCCAACAATGTAACCATTACGTCATTTGCTGGTCCCGGGCAGATTTGAGACAGGGCTTGTTTTTCTTGTAACTTAATGACATCCAGCATTGTACACTCAGTCAGGAGCTGTCATCTCTTCCATGATTGCCAGAGAGACTATTAGGTGCTTAGGTGTTCCCTTACCTGTGATACGACAGCTTTGACAGTCTTCATCTGCCAGTCTCTGCCTGTTTCAGTCTTAGATTAGGAGTGGTGTTTTTTTTTTTTTTTTTTGGCCTTCTGCCCCCTTCCCCCCCGCCCCCCGCCGTGGTTGCATTCCAATAGAAGAGTGTTTATGTTCTGACAGTTCTGTGTCTGCAAAAGAGAAGCTATGAAGGGACCAGAGACAGTGGATGGGTTTTGGCATGCCAATGTATTGTAAAGCATTTTGGGAAAAACAATGTTACATATAAGTCATAATTTACATCCCAGAAGGGGAATTATTGTGGGTACTACAGATAGTGTCAGGATGAAGTTGACCTAGAGCATTTCCTAGAATTTAAAGAAAGGCCAAAAAAATCCCAGTTTGGTCAAGCCCTGGAAGGTGAGACTAGTCCTCATCCTGCTCCTGTGCTTGACTCTGAGCCTCTCTGTAGCTGCAGAATTGTCAAAGTAGGACTTCCAAAAAGTTTGAAGAAAGGCTAAGGGGATGTGGCATTTGCAGTCTGGTAAAGACAAATTAGAAATACACACACACACACATATATATGTATATGCATAGACTTGAGTCCCATATACAGTGAGCTCACACACACTATAGAGACAATCTCTCCAAAAAAAAAAAAAAAAAAGGGAACCAGCAGTTAGCGTAATGGCTATGTCACTGGACTCCCACGTAGTCGACCACGGTTCACGTCCCGGACCCGGTGGCTTAAAACTCACACTGGGCACATGTGCGTGCGTGCCCAAGATCCCAAGAGGAGAATGGAGGAGAAGGGGTTGCAGCATGGCCATCCCCCCTGGGGGGTGATTTCTCACTTTCTGTCCCTCTGTCTCTCTCTGTCTGTCTGGCGAGCGTACGCGCCCTGTAGCGAAAAACCTCTCCAAAAATAAAAAAAAAAAAAAAAAAAGAGAGAGAGAGAGAAAGAGAAAGAAGCAGAAGAAAACCTTCCTGAATGGTGGCATCCAAGCCAGGGCTGGCAGTGGGGATACTCGTGTGGATCCTGGAGAAAGAGCCCTCCAGATGGACATATATATGCAAATATATGTGTATGTATGTGTGTGTATGTGTATATATGTGTGTGTATGTATATATGTATGTGTGTATGTATATATAGTCCTTCCAAAATTGATAGACTGATCACAAATCAATCAAAACAACCAAAAAGGGAAATACATGCAAAAAAAAATGGAAATCTTCATTTACCTTTTTCCCCCCCTCTTCTTACGTGTGATTTGTA